TAGATCAACCTCACCAATTCCCTAAGGAAACAACTTGAACTGATTAAAACTTGAACTTTTGACTTGCACATTATCAGGTCATGCAACCTTGAAAACGCGGCAAATATTTGTCCAGCCCGAGTCATGAAAATATCTTTTTGCAGTCATAGAAATTACACGTTTTCAAACTATATCTGAAGAAGAAATTGCTAAATAGAGCAGGCGGAAACAGTAATTGCTTCTTCCCCATGGCTCTCAATGTTTCCGTAGGGAAAACCGAGGGGGATATTGAGGGTCTCAAGGAAACGAAACCCACTATTTCCCAGTCATTTAGTGCGTGATCCTCAAAGTCGACTTTCGACCTGTTCTTGTCACTGGATGAATTAACAATTTTTGAAAGAGATATAAATTGGCGTTGACTTTTCAGCTAGACCATAGTTAATGGACATATCAAAACTTGAAAGGAAACTTTTACCAGGCCGTATTGTTCTCTCATTGAATTGATTTTACCCCGGTAATCTATACTTCACCCTGAGTGTTCCATGCTTCATTTCGTAGATATGTTGAAAAGTAATTAAGGTCATGTCGTCAATCAATCAATCAAGCAAACTTTATTTGTAGAGCGTAATACGGTGATAGACTTCGAGCAGTCCTCCTTTTCGGCGAAGTTTGTCGCGCGACTGAGTTAAAAAAGAATCAGTTAAAAAATGCTGTCAGCGTGCCGGGGGTACTCCTGGAGTGAAGTTTGAGCGCCTCACTCATGGAGCTCCCGCGGCGCATCGGCGTCACTCCAAGAACTAAAATATTTTTTTTAACTTTTTTTTTTTACTCGCGCGACGGCCTTAGTTGAAAAGGAGGGACGTCTCTTAGTTTAAACACCTAATAGTTAAACAACTAATTGACTTGTGGCCCTCTTCGTCACAGAATAATTTTCTCGGAATGATTAGTTACGATATATCTATAACTTTATTCTTGATGAAGGTTCAAACCGTTTTTCGTCTTGACAGGGCAGTGTTGTACGGAGGGGTTGGCGGCATAATGGGACACGAACTAACTCACGGATATGACGTAGACGGTGAGCTCGTGCTGCTTGCTCTTTACGCTATAGAAAACTCTTTGCCTTTCCAAGCAAACAAAATAAGTCATTTCTAATTGTGCGCATTCTTGTAACTTGCGATGTATCTTTTAACGATGAAATAAAGATCGTTAACTATTCATCTGTTTAACCATTTATATGAGATATATGGAATTAGTTTAAATCTTGTTCTACGATAACAGGGAGACGATTTGATATGAAAGGAGATGAACGGAACTGGTGGAGTGAGGAAACCCTTAAAGCGTTCAACAGAAAAACCGAGTGTTTGAAGGATCAATACTCTAATTTTACATTTCATGGAGGCACAGTAGGTTTAACTGATTTCCTTATTTTATCTCGTGCCGCGGTTTACCTAGCCTGCGTTGCAGCCGGACGTGTCACACAATCCCCTTTTTGCCGAAAAAGGGCCGCTAAGTTTGCGAAGCGAGCANTTCAGAGTGTCCTTGCAGCGTTCCTCTCGACCTCCCTTGAAGCGCTTGGCCTACAGTAGCTCGCCATAGAACTTATAGCTTATAGTAATGCACTAAATAGTGCTACAATCCAGCTCCTCGGTAGCTTTTAAAACAGCCTCTTATACTCAATTCTTAAGACAGCAAGTCAAACAGTGGGCCCCAGTGAAACATGAACTGATGAGGTATCTTCAGGTTGAAGGAAAACTTTTAAAAAGATCCAGAATCCTGTGCAGTGGATCATGACAGGACAGAAAATGCGTGCACTATAAGTACCTCTCGTTGTCCCATACAAAGCCTTAGAAAAGTGTTCTAAGGCTTTGTATGGGACAACGGGAGGCACTTACAGTGCACGCGTCTTCCGTCCTGTCATGTGCAGAGCATGAACATGCAAAGGATGTTGAAAGAATAGCTTGATTGTTACGAGACCGTGAAAAAGCTATGACACATCAGTAGAACAAATTGCAGTCATCAAACAATTAATGGAACCGTACATCGCTTATGACTCCAAGAATCACTATGGGTCAGCTATGTTACAGATTGTTACAAACCTGAACTTCAGGTAGTAGCGTTGGAGTTGTGGAGCTTGAGGAGGATAAATCTTTATCTGAATATTGTCAGGATACCGGTGAGATTTAAGAGCAGTTATTGGACTCAGTAGGTTACAAAGAGGGACGAGGAGGGATAGACTTGGTGTAGTATATTTGTTTATTTCTTATTATTTCTACTATATATTTGTGACTTCTATCACTGTTCAACTAACTTAAACTGCAGCTCTATTTATTCAAAAACGAGATTAAAGATACTCTTAATTGACGGGTATTAATATGTTCAATTTATTAATTTGATTTCCGCTAAGTGTTAGCCAATAATCATTATTAGTATAGCTCGTGTGTGTGTACCTGTGCGTTCTTGGGTATGTTTAACTGTGCGTCAGACATAGTCATTTGATTGTATCTATATTTAAGAACTAAGAATATCCTATTCTGACAAGCCCTTGTAACCTGCACCCTTATTTCCTTAGATTAGTCCTATATTTAACTTTTTACGTTGTTAGTGGTGG